GTGTTCATCCAGCTCTACACCTTGTTATCTCAGATTCTCCAGCATCTGCAGTTCCTACTATCTCTGATACAATTTTAACCCCACTGCGAAGCCTCTTTTAAGGATGCCTAGCCTGAAGAAGTTACCCTCCTCCCTCCGGACAAAGCTCAGGGGATTTCTCTCCCACTGCAACTCTCTCGTAATCTCTTCGGCCTTGAAACTGACCTGTCTGTTTGCTCTCCACCTATCTTCTCCTCTATCCATCTTCTATCCGCCTCCCCCTCTCTCCCTATTTATTTCAGAATCCCCTTCTCCTCCCCCATTTCTGAAGAAGGGTCTAGGCCCGAAATGTCAGCCTTCCTGCTCCTCTGATGCTGCTTGGCCTGCTTTGTTCATCCAGCTCTACACCTTGTTATCTTAGTGCAGAATACTGTAGTATTTGAGAGGCCTTCATTCAACTACAAAAGATGTGGGCAGTTCTTGATTTCAAGAACAAGCATACCAACCACAGATATTGCATGGAAATATGTAAAGCTGCAGCTTTTGGCTTAGAAATTAGGCCTTGAGCTGGAAACTCAAAGGTCCCCTGACTGATGAGAAGTTCTGATGAGAATTCCTGGGACAAACAGGATTTTGATCTTTCATGTCAGCTGTCCTTTGCCTTCTGAGCATACATATCGATTAGGTGCCGAGAAGACACTGCCTGGAGGTGACAATTTGCTGACTAGCAATCAATTCGGAACTCTCCAATACCCCAGTCACCCCACTTGAGGAATTCTTTTTGACACCCTGTTGATCATGATGATCAATCATAATCTTTCACAAAATTATTTGCCTTGGATACATAAATCTTATCAATAATTGATCATTATATTTCATTTAACGAGATTAAAAGACTTTATTATGTTGGTCTGTTTATCCTTTACCATCCAATTTTTAGATTAATGAATCATAATCATTGCAAGGGTAGCAGGTTGATTATCCCCTTTAATGTTCTCAATTAAGTGAGATCATCTTAATTCAATCTGCCATCACGTTTTGTAACCCTTTAGAAACTTGTCAACAAAAATCTATTGGTGTCAATTCTGAAATTTTCAAATGACCTCGCCTCAACAATGTTTTGAGGAAAGAGTTCCTCAGGATCGTGTCCTAGGCCTAACCATCTTCGGCTGCTTCATCAACAACCTTTCCTCCACCAAAAGGTCATAAGTGACAATATTTGTTGGTGATTGCACAATGTTCAGCACTTGTGAGACTCCTCAGATATTGAATGGGTCTGTGTTCAAATGCAAAAGATCTGGACAATATCCAGGCTTGGGCTGACAAGTGGCAAGTAACATTTGCGCCACACAAACGCCAAGCAATGACGATCACCAATAACAGACAATCTAAACCACCATACTTTGACATTTAATGGTGTCATCATCACTGAATCTCCCACTATCAACATCCTCATGGATATCATTAAGCAGAAACTGAACTGGACATGCCCCTTAAACAGAGTGACTACAAGAGCAGTTCAAAGACTGCGAATACTGCAGTAAGTAACTCCCCTCCAGACTCCCCAAAGCCTGCCCATCATCTACAAGGCACAAGTCATGAATGTGATGGAATACTCCCACTTGACCAGATGGATGCAGCTCCAACACCATGAAAGAAAACTGATACCATCCAGGACAAAGCAGCCCATTTGATTGGCACCACATCCACAAACATCCACTCCCTCCAACACTGACACTCAGTAGCAGCAGTGTGTACAATCTACAAGGCACTGCAGATATTCACCAAAGATCCTCAGAAGCACCTTCCACACCCACAACTACTTTGATCTAAAAGGATGAGGACAGCAGAAACATGGGACCACCATCATATTCAAGCTCCCCACCAAGCCACTCACCATCCTAACTTGGAACTGTCAAAATCCTAGAATTCCCTCCATTGTGGGTCAACCTACAGCATATGGACTGTAGTAGTTCAAGAAGGCAGCTCACCAACCCCTTCTCAAAGGCAACTTGGGACTAGCAACGCCATGTCCCACAAATGAATAGAAAAGAAGAGCATGCCAGATTTCCACAACTACTTTCATGTGCGTGCAGAATAATCCCTGAATGGCTGAGCTCTGACTTGAAGGATATCCTCCCAGTTTTTCTGAATTTCTATCTTAAGCAAGTAGGTTTATCTGTCTACCCAATCAATTCATTGAATCAAATTGGCAGTTCAATAAGATATCCTTAATCTTCTGTGTAGTTTCTTTTAAAATCTAAAAACAAAATCTTTACCTGTGCAATGTGTCTTCATAATTTAACTCTTTCATTTCTCATCCCTGTTAAGTTTTACAATGTCAGTTTGGGACTTGTCCCAAAACCAAATTTAAGCATATTATGTTCATGGGTTGTTAGATACTTTGTTACCATCAGCAATTCTCATTCAGGCACTGCCCCAGAAGACTGAACTAGACAATGACGAGGAAAAACAGATGCATTGTTTGTGTTCTTCCATATGTTCTTTCTTTCTTTCTGTTTATATATGTTCTTTCTGTCTGCAAAGAGTAGGGTGCTCAGTATTAATATATGTACCATACTACGAGCCTGACTAACAACCCTAAATTGATTCTCAGCAAAAATCTTAGCACACTCAAGTTTAATTAGCAAATGGTGTCCACTCATGGAATAATATCCAAAGTTAGACATTGTGTTGTGAATTTTGTCAAAAAAGACTGACTGAGTAGTTACTGACTTGCTTATTGTGAACAGCCAAAGGGATATGCTGCTTGATACAACCTGCCAGGTTTTTGGAATACATCACCCACATAGTTACCATCATTCCAGAACCAAAATTTATTTACCACATTACTCTTTTGTGAAGTAGGCAGAACATCTTCTTAACTAGATGGCAGTGGTGCTATTCCTGCTGCTATTACAAAATGAATCTGAAACAGCGTCCTTCACTTATTGCTCGATTTTGAGATACCCTACCCTTCTAGGGTAACCCAAGGTAAACTGGACGCATTTCAGGACCATATGACAATCTTGGGCGCATTCATGAGTTTGCGAGATATACAGCAAGAAACTACATGATCAGGGTAGCCATTATCATGCAGGATTTAGAGTCACAGAGCGTTATAGAGTTATATATGATGGAAACAGATCCCTCGGTCCAACTCGTCCACGCTGACCAAGTTTCCCAAACGAAACTAGTCCCATCTGCCTGCATATAACCCATATGCTTCTAAACTTTTCCTATGCAATGGAGATTATAAGTACATATTTGATAGCTTTTCTAAGAGGTTCAGAATGGCAAAATTAAATTAATGAAAGTTCTAAATAAATTTCTTGTATAGCTGTTTCAGGATCTATATTGCTAATTGGTTTCATCCTAGATGCAACACCAATGAATATTTTCAAGACAGGTAAATAGATTCTTCACCATCAAGGAAATCAAAGCATATCAGATGTAGAACTGAAGCCAACAATCTTCCTGAATGACAGAGCAGACTTGGGCAACTGAACTGCCAACTTCTGCTCTTAATTCATTTTGTTGAACTGCTGCAGTCCATGCGGCCCAAAGTACTGTAAGGAAGGAATTTCCTAGATTTTGACCTCGTGACAACAAAGTTCCAAATCAAAATTATGTCCATGTCTCTGCTGCATTTATCCTTAAAGATGTGGTCATGGTTTTGGCAGGTGCTGTCCATGGAGACTTGGTGAATGTCTACAGTGCATCTTGTAGATGGCACAACTGTAGCTACTGAGGCTTGGTGGTGGAGGAATTGAATGTCTGCAGGTGTGGCACCAACAAGTGGGCTGTTTGTCCTCGATGGTGTTAAACTTCATTAGTGTTAATGGAGCTGCATTCATCCAGACAAGTGGGAAGCATTCCATTTTACCCCTGACTTGTCGATGGTGAACAAGCTTTGGAAATCGCAAGTTACCAAGCTCAGTCAATTCTGTACATTTTCATATACATTTTCGTTGCAGAATAGAGTGTAATTTGCATGAATGTCAATGTACTGCCGCTGGTCAATATTTACCTGCCAGCACATGTTTTTCTTACAACAGCAAACCACCCTATGACATGAAGGGTAAAATATGGTTTCAAATAAAAGTAAAATGTACATGATACAATTCCTTGCAGGAGCCCCGAAAATTCAATGTTAGAAACGATGTCTTAAGTAGGTAGAGACAACAAGGTGCAGAGCTGGATGAACACAGCAGGCCGGCCAAGCAGCATCATAGGAGCAGAGAGGCTGACGTTTCAGGCCTAGACCCTTCAAGGGTTCATCCAGCTCTGCACCTTGTTGTCTCGGATTCTCCAGCATCTGCAGTTCCTACTATCTCTTAAGTAGGTACTTTTCTGAAGAAGGGTCTAGACCCGAAACGTCAGCTTTCCTGCTCCTCTGATGCTGCTTGGCCTGCTGTGTTCATCCAGCTCTACAGCTTGTTATCTCAAGTAGGTGTTTGTGGAGCGAAGCTATAGACTGATCAGATGACTACTGAATCTGGAAAGAGGAAACGTAAGATCCTGGCAAGAGAAATATAACGGAAGCCTAATTAATACTTCAAATGTTTAACACCATACAGTAAGTGCTCCTTTTTTTTCTGAGAGGTGCTATGAACCTGAGTTCAGATAATTCTGTTGTATAAGCGATAGGTCGTTACAGCGGTGAAGAGCAGCAGAACAGTGCGGATATCATCACATTTCCAACATTCACGGAGGATTCACTAGGCCAACATCAAAACGCACCTACCGAGAACACACACTCACCGCGACCTTACAGCAGAACAGGCCTCACGCTAAAACCAGAGAAGATTATCCCAACAGCGACCCACTCACTCCGCCATTTCCAGGCCGTTTCCCACAGCTACCCATCACCCGCTCACGTCTCCTCCGACTCTCACAGTCCTGGCCCCGCCCC